ACTTGATCCCGTCGAAGGGCTCCCCGTCCCAGTGGTAGTGGTCTCGTGGGTAGATGTTTCTGTTACTCCAGTGGTGCTGCGGGGAGTGGGTCCCGATGTTGTGGGGACGGAAGTGGTCGTTTTGGTGGTGGATTCGGTTTCAGGGACTCCAGAGGTGGTGCCTGGCACTGGGCTTGTTGACACTGATGGCCTTGACACAGTAGTGCTGGCTGTAGGTCCTGGTATCATGGTGCTGACGGTGGTGGTGGTAGTTGATCCCGTCGAAGGGCTCCCCGTCCCTGCAGTAATTTGCTCCTGGGTGGACGATTCTGTTACTCTTGTGGTGCTGCGGGGAGTGGGTCCTGAGGTTATGGGGATGGAAGTGGTCGTTTTGGTGGTGGATTCTGTTTCAGGGACTCCAGAGGTGGTGCCTGACACTGGGCTTGTTGACACTGATGGTGTTGACTGTTGATTAGTTGTGCCTATGCTAGACACTGTACTTCCTATTTCTGTGGTTCTAGTTGTTTGCAGTGGGGTAGGTCTTGTACTTGTCTGTGTTGGTGTTCCTGTTTCATGTGGTGGGACCTCTTTAAGACAGGGAGAAAACACAGTATTTTATGTTAAGTAAGAAAATTGCATGTGTCACTAACAATTTCATTTTCTAATAAACAAATTAAGTTCAACAAACCTAAGCATAGGGTATTTAGATAGACAGGAATAAATTATGAACTCTTTTATTAGTGGCTTTTGCATAACAGAGAGATTATGAAAACATCTCCTACATCTTGCATGGGAGACACTGATGTAAACACTTAATGATCAGTATTGGATGGAACAGCTGTTAAATCTTTATACTGCATAGAGGAATCCAGCAGTCCTAAATCCAGGGGAATTCATTGAGTGGATCAATGAACTCTTCAGTTAATTCTGTATTGCTGACATGCTATATTCCATGCATATGCAACTTTTCCCTGTGGTACTTCCTGTGGCATATTCATACCAGCACTGATTACACTTAAGAGTCATTTGATTCTACTGAAAGTGAGCAGTTGCTGGAGCAATCTGTGTTCCATACCTAACTTCCATGCATTTAAGACTACTCACCCACAAGCTATTTTTGCATGTTAGGAACCCCAAATTCACTTTTCTGCTTTTTCCTTCTCACATGACCAAGACAGTTTTCATGATGGGCCCTAATGTAGGCTCGTTCAAAATAGTCTTTGATTGCTATTTTGTAAATTTTTCACAATACTCAGAGGTCAGCCTCAGAGGTATCTGTGCTTTTACAGCATGATGTAAGAGGCACATGGTAAATAGAGAAACACTGTGTAGATCTTAAGCGTGCAGTCATAATGCTGGAGAATAGGAGGAAGTAAGATACGCTGCTGCTGCCCAGAGTCCACAAGGACAGTCCTCCAAATAAAACTAATTCACATTTGGGTGAAGACAGGTAAACTCCTTCATGTTCAGAAGGAAATACAAGAACAGATGGTGCACTGTCACAGAGGCAGATTCACTGGGAAGTTAGGGGGTCTCACCATGCTGCCAAAACATCAGCTTCCTTTCCAGTAGCGCACAGACAGCTGGAGAACAACACTCATGGGTGCACTAGGAGAACTCAGCTGCCCAGAGCTTTGGTCCATAGCAAGGGGAAACCCGTGGCCTGAATCCTTCCCCCAAACCCTGCCGGGGAAAACCTTCCTACAGCCAGAACTGAAGGTGAGTGGCAGCAATGGCCACAGAGGCAACGCAAGAGAAGAAAGGGAAGAAAGCCTGCACGGCTGCGCCCAAACAGCGCCTGAAATGACAGTGCCACAACGCCAAGCCCCACTCCCATTGCACACCATGGGTCCCACTGAGTACATTCTCTCCAGCTGAAGGACGAGGTCCAAGAGCAGCAAAAGCAAGACTTCCCGTCAGTTCAGTATCTGTCTAAGCTGGGCAGAGGCAACAGGATGAAAAATTTCCTAACGTTCATGATAATCAAAAGAATGGAACCGAGAACCAGAACCATGTTGTGCACTCTCCCTCTTAAGCGGATAGTTCACTGCAGGACCAGCTCTGCTCTACTCTCATGAGATCACACCTGCAGCTCTGGGGTCCCCAGTACAACATAGACATGAAACTGTTTGAGCAGGTCCAGAGGAAGGCCACAGAAATGATCAGAGGGCTGGAACACCTCCCCTGTGAGAGTTGTGGTTGTTCAGCCAGGAGAAGAGAAGGCTCCAGGGAGACATTACTGTGGCCTTTCAATACAGAGAAGGGGCTTATAAGAAAGACGACGAGAGAATTTTTACCAAGGCCTGTAGTTACAGGACAAGGTACAACAGTTTTAAACTGAAAGAGGGTAGGCTTAAATTGGACATAGGAAGAAATTTTTTATGATGTGGGTGATGAGACAGTAGAAAAGGTTTCCCAGGAAAGTTTTGGATGCCCAATCATTGGAAGCATTCAAGGTCAGGTCAAATGGGACTCTGAGCCACAGGATGTGGTGAGAGATGTCCCTGCCCATAACAGGGGGGCTGGTGTAAAAGATCTTTAAAAAGGTCCCTTCCAACCCAAACTATTTTGTGATTCTAGGCTTTTTTTGGAAACATGTATCAACTACACTCCCTCAAAGTACAAAAATTAAGACCCATGTTAAACTGCCAATGAACCTTAATTTCTCCCATAGCAAGGCAACAAATGACAACACAGCCAGAGAATTACTTATTGGTACTGAAGTCGGAGGCCACGGGATTCTGGTGACTATTGTTCCTATTGGGGATGTGCTTGTAGTAATTGGGGTGGGTGCCGTCGTGCCAGGAACACTCGTCGTTGTCCCCAGGGCGCTGCTGGTGGTGCTGCCGGAGGGCATCGTGGTGGTGGCGGTGCTGCTGGGAGGCGCTGATGGCGTTGGTGTGTAAGCAGTTGTCGATACAGGTGGAGCGGACACTGTGCTCGTTGTGGGTGAAGGTGGGGCTGTCGTGGTGCTCACAGTGGTACTTGTAATGCACTCAAGTACGCTGGGGATGCAGCAGACACTGACCTCATAATTGAGGCAGACCGGCATCGGTATTATACCTCCTATGAGCTGATCACTGTTGTTGCAGATGAGCCCTGTGTTAACATTGCATTCCACCTTCTGCCCTAAGTCTGCAATGGAAGTGTTAGGGAATTGCTTTGCTCTGCATGAAATATCCACAGCTTTCTCACAGACCCAGGAGGGCTTGTGCTTCCGAATATTCTCAAAGGTTTCATAGTCACCACCGTTTCTGTCGGAACTATTTGGGTAACTCACGTCAAGCCATTCTGTCCAGATGCAAGGGCAGGCTAGGAGACGACAACAACAAGAGAAACAATTAGAAAGAGCTGGAGCAGAAACAACAAGCTGGAGCACCAGTACACTCGTGGATGGTGCTCTGGGTGTCCACTGCACACAAGGGTGCTGCTTGGGCACTGCTATACCAGTCAGCCAACCCTGGCCACAACAAAACTCACTGGTGCGGACAGCGCTCCCTTTCTTGGCCCTACAAAGCACACTAGGGCCAAATCAGGACACAGGCGCTGCTGAGCCACGTGCGTATCATCCTCGCAGCTAGGGCACACCACCCTGTTGGGCTTCTTATGTGCAAAAAACCTCACATAAGCGCAACACATGAGGTGGAGCAGGACTAAGCAGGGCCCCACCACTCTCTCACCTTCTCATGCCACTCACACCACCTCACTATCTCAGGGAGAAACCAAACACTGGGAAGGGTCGTGACCACAAAGGAAGCAGGCACAAGACACACACTGCTGCCAAAACATCAGCTTCCTTTCCAGCAGCGCACAGACAGCTGGAGAACAACACTCATGGGTGCACTAGGAGAACTCAGCTGCCCAGAGCTTTGGTCCATAGCAAGGGGAAACCCGTGGCCTGAATCCTTCCCCCAACCCCTGCCGGGGAAAACCTTCCTACAGCCAGAACTGAAGGTGAGTGGCAGCAATGGCCACAGAGGCAACGCAAGAGAAGAAAGGGAAGAAAGCCTGCACGGCTGCGCCCAAACAGCGCCTGAAATGACAGTGCCACAACACCAAGCCCCACTCCCATTGCACACCATGGGTCCCACTGAGTACATTCTCTCCAGCTGAAGGACGAGGTCCAAGAGCAGCAAAAGCAAGACTTCCCGTCAGTTCAGTATCTGTCTAAGCTGGGCAGAGGCAACAGGATGAGAAACCTCCTCAGAGCCCTGTTGAATCAGGGAGCACAAGGCCTAGGGAACACAAGACCCAGGACCCCTGCACCCTCCTCACTTCTCAAACATCCAACCCAAAGGCTAGCTTCGGGCACACACCATTTCAGGGAACATGCAATTACTCCCACTCTGATCCTATAAAGAAGGCACAAGCTGAAGTGTTCATGGACCTTCATTTCTCCCACAGCAAGGCAACACAGAAGAGCACAGGCCATATAAGTACCGTGATGTGTTGTCGGGGGGGTATGTGTTGTGGTTATGGATGTGCTTGCAGTAATTGGGGTGGGTGCTGGCGTGCCAGGAACACTCGTCGTTGTCCCCGGGGTGCTGCTGGTGGTGCTGCCAGGGGGCATCGTGATGGTGGTGGTGCTGCTGGGAGGCGCTGATGGTGTTGGTGTGTAAGCAGTTGTCGATACAGGTGGAGGGGACTCTGTGCTCTTTGTAGGCGAAGGTGGGGCTGTTAGAAACAGCAGTGACAGAGAAAACACACAAAGGTGCAAAATGCATGAGTGGGACACAATATGCGCTGAACAGAAACGACATGTTAGGCAGCTGCCACAAACCTATAGCATTCAACCCACTGTTACCACAGTAAAGGCCTCTATCACCAAGCCGTCCTTTCTGGAGCCATAAAGCAGACTAGTTACAAATCAGTGCACAGACAAGCTCATTTCAATCCTTTCCCAGCAAAGAGACTAGGGATCTTGCTGTAATGTTCTTGTCACTAAATCAAAAATACCTACCAAGCGGTAAGTCCTGAGGAGGACTAAGGCTCTGTGAGGTTCTCTCTTTGCATTATTATTTAGAATAACTTGCTATCTCAGAGTAAGATCTGAGAGGGAAAGCTGTAGTCTGGGAAGGAAGTATGCACAGGATTGTCACGTAATTTCCCTTTGCTGCAATGTCAGTCAAACTATTTTGTGATTCTAGGCTTTTTTTGGAAACATGTATCAACTACACTCCCTCAAAGTACAAAAATTAAGACCCATGTTAAACTGCCAATGAACCTTAATTTCTCCCATAGCAAGGCAACAAATGACAACACAGCCAGAGAATTACTTATTGGTACTGAAGTCGGAGGCCACGGGATTCTGGTGACTATTGTTCCTATTGGGGATGTGCTTGTAGTAATTGGGGTGGGTGCCGTCGTGCCAGGAACACTCGTCGTTGTCCCCAGGGCGCTGCTGGTGGTGCTGCCGGAGGGCATCGTGGTGGTGGCGGTGCTGCTGGGAGGCGCTGATGGCGTTGGTGTGTAAGCAGTTGTCGATACAGGTGGAGCGGACACTGTGCTCGTTGTGGGTGAAGGTGGGGCTGTCGTGGTGCTCACAGTGGTACTTGTAATGCACTCAAGTACGCTGGGGATGCAGCAGACACTGACCTCATAATTGAGGCAGACCGGCATCGGTATTATACCTCCTATGAGCTGATCACTGTTGTTGCAGATGAGCCCTGTGTTAACATTGCATTCCACCTTCTGCCCTAAGTCTGCAATGGAAGTGTTAGGGAATTGCTTTGCTCTGCATGAAATATCCACAGCTTTCTCACAGACCCAGGAGGGCTTGTGCTTCCGAATATTCTCAAAGGTTTCATAGTCACCACCGTTTCTGTCGGAACTATTTGGGTAACTCACGTCAAGCCATTCTGTCCAGATGCAAGGGCAGGCTAGGAGACGACAACAACAAGAGAAACAATTAGAAAGAGCTGGAGCAGAAACAACAAGCTGGAGCACCAGTACACTCGTGGATGGTGCTCTGGGTGTCCACTGCACACAAGGGTGCTGCTTGGGCACTGCTATACCAGTCAGCCAACCCTGGCCACAACAAAACTCACTGGTGCGGACAGCGCTCCCTTTCTTGGCCCTACAAAGCACACTAGGGCCAAATCAGGACACAGGCGCTGCTGAGCCACGTGCGTATCATCCTCGCAGCTAGGGCACACCACCCTGTTGGGCTTCTTATGTGCAAAAAACCTCACATAAGCGCAACACATGAGGTGGAGCAGGACTAAGCAGGGCCCCACCACTCTCTCACCTTCTCATGCCACTCACACCACCTCACTATCTCAGGGAGAAACCAAACACTGGGAAGGGTCGTGACCACAAAGGAAGCAGGCACAAGACACACACTGCTGCCAAAACATCAGCTTCCTTTCCAGCAGCGCACAGACAGCTGGAGAACAACACTCATGGGTGCACTAGGAGAACTCAGCTGCCCAGAGCTTTGGTCCATAGCAAGGGGAAACCCGTGGCCTGAATCCTTCCCCCAACCCCTGCCGGGGAAAACCTTCCTACAGCCAGAACTGAAGGTGAGTGGCAGCAATGGCCACAGAGGCAACGCAAGAGAAGAAAGGGAAGAAAGCCTGCACGGCTGCGGCCAAACAGCGCCTGAAATGAACGTAGCCCCACTCCCATTGCACACCATGGATCCCACTGAGTACATTCTCTCCAGCTGAAGGACGAGGTCCAAGAGCAGCAAAAGCAAGACTTCCCGTCAGTTCAGTATCTGTCTAAGCTGGGCAGAGGCAACAGGATGAGAAACCTCCTCAGAGCCCTGTTGAATCAGGGAGCACAAGGCCTAGGGAACACAAGACCCAGGACCCCTGCACCCTCCTCACTTCTCAAACATCCAACCCAAAGGCTAGCTTCGGGCACACACCATTTCAGGGAACATGCAATTACTCCCACTCTGATCCTATAAAGAAGGCACAAGCTGAAGTGTTCATGGACCTTCATTTCTCCCACAGCAAGGCAACACAGAAGAGCACAGGCCATATAAGTACCGTGATGTGTTGTCGGGGGGGTATGTGTTGTGGTTATGGATGTGCTTGCAGTAATTGGGGTGGGTGCTGGCGTGCCAGGAACACTCGTCGTTGTCCCCGGGGTGCTGCTGGTGGTGCTGCCAGGGGGCATCGTGATGGTGGTGGTGCTGCTGGGAGGCGCTGATGGTGTTGGTGTGTAAGCAGTTGTCGATACAGGTGGAGGGGACTCTGTGCTCTTTGTAGGCGAAGGTGGGGCTGTTAGAAACAGCAGTGACAGAGAAAACACACAAAGGTGCAAAATGCATGAGTGGGACACAATATGCGCTGAACAGAAACGACATGTTAGGCAGCTGCCACAAACCTATAGCATTCAACCCACTGTTACCACAGTAAAGGCCTCTATCACCAAGCCGTCCTTTCTGGAGCCATAAAGCAGACTAGTTACAAATCAGTGCACTGACAAGCTCATTTCAATCCTTTCCCAGCAAAGAGACTAGGGATCTTGCTGTAATGTTCTTGTCACTAAATCAAAAATACCTACCAAGCGGTAAGTCCTGAGGAGGACTAAGGCTCTGTGAGGTTCTCTCTTTGCATTATTATTTAGAATAACTTGCTATCTCAGAGTAAGATCTGAGAGGGAAAGCTGTAGTCTGGGAAGGAAGTATGCACAGGATTGTCACGTAATTTCCCTTTGCTGCAATGTCAGTCTGATGAAGGGGTTCACAGAGTGCTAGTGGATCTCAGCAGCCAAAGACCACATTTCACAGCAAGTGGCAGCCTGCAGAGTGAAATTGTTTCCGCAAGCCTGCCAGGGGAATCCTTCCTTCCTAGATCTATTACCACAGGCAAATGTTAGCAGTGACAGAGGGAAAGCAGAAGGAGAAAGGGAAGGAATTCTGCACAGCCCCACCTAGACACTGAGTAAAATGATGGTACTCATTTTAACGAGTACCTAATTTTAATTTCATTTTAATGAGTGCAATGGGTCCTTCTGGGAATCTTCTCTTCAGCAGAAGGATAGACCTCCAAACCAGCATAAGTAAGACTTCCTGTAAGCTCAATATCTGCTATGGAGACGATACGCCTTTAGTAGCCATCAGCCCTTTATTTCATCTGTGGCAAAGCAAGAGCAGAGAGTATTGGTCTGCTAAATACCTGGAGAGGTTGAAGTTTCTGTGGTGCTGACTGATGGTGTGAATTCACTTGTGATGGTTGGGGTGGGTATGGGCGTGGTGGTAATTGCTGTTGGCTGCCTGGTTGTAGTGGTGATGGGTACTGTTGTGCTGATGGTGGTTGAAGTTCCAGTCGGTGTTGGACTCTGTGTACTTATAGTCTGACAAGGAATTTCATGCAACGCACAACAGTTCACCCTGATTTCATAATTATAGCAAAGTTGCCACATAGTTGCATCTTGCTCCTCATTTTTACAGGTTAGTCCATATGTAACATTACACTCCACTTTCTGGCCAAGTTGCTCTAAGCTCATATCAGGATTATCTTTAGCTCTGCATTCAATTTTTTCAGGAGCTTCGCATATTTTGTCTCCATGTTCATTTCTTATTGCATCATAGGTTTCGTAGTCACCATCAACAACTTCAGGGTTACTAACATCAAACCATTCAGTCCAACGACAGATTAATCCAAAGCATGGAGCTGCAAGAAGAGACAGACATTCAGCATCTGAGCTTAAAGAAAACATTCCTAGATTAGTTTCGTATTCTATTCCATTAAGGACTAGAGCAACGCATTCCAACTTGTCATTTTTCCAAGAGAAGAGAGTTCTAAAATTGGTTTTGTATTCCATGTTTTTCAAGAGGAAGCTTCACATCAAAATAAAATCACCAACCTGAAGCCTTGAAAAGTCTTTCTTCTGTCTATACTTAGCACATTTTTGCAATTTTTAAAAATTATTTGGTTTTGGTTTAAATATATTTTTCTGCAGTGGCCATCTTTAATTTACTCTTCCTTGAAATGTTCCTTTGACTTTTTTTAACAGTTTAGTTTTCTATTTAAAACTTACTTGTAGTTACTGGAGGGCTTGTAGTGGTAACTGAAATAGAAAAAAAGGATTACTCAGATTACTCCATCATCTGCAAGCTGTAGAAAAAAAATAACAGTAGTTTTAAATATCTTATTTGTATTTTTTTGCTGAGACTACGGACACAATTTCTACTATCCCAGCAGGATACTGGGATGCTAACATGTTTTTCAGAATTAGGAAGGTACCCTGTACATTTATAGTTACAATGTCTTCCATGAGAAGTAAAACAACTCAAAAGTGTTAAAAATCTTAGTGTAGTGTGATAAAACTATCGATAAGTATCACTCTTATCTGTGTCAACTATAAGCCCATATACTTGTACATTCTATCTTTAAAGTATTTTCCTTAAAGAAAATAGATTTTAGGTGTGCGCATCTGTTGACAATTTACCTGTGGTGGTAAGAGTACTGGTAGGATTGGAGATGGAAATGGTTGTAGGTGAAGTAGGCGTCGGACAAGGGTAAGTACTTCCAACAACTATAGAACCATTTTCTGCACAAATGTATATTATACATATGCTGCCATTCTGTATTTGTGCCACCGTTTGACCCACTTCATAACTTGTTCCGTTGATGACACAAGGACACCCTGCAAGAAAGAGCTTTACTGTGCAATTTTTCTACTACCAGGTAAGAGACAAAGGCAAAATACTTATGGGCAAGTAAGCATTTACATGCTCCTTCCAGAGTTACACCTGGAGCTTAGATCTAATACATCACACTAATTTATCTTTACATTTAGAGGAACATTAAAACATATATGTTAAAAAAAGTATTTATATAAAGTCCTCCATAAAACACTTGGAAGAACAGGCTTACAAACTGGGTTTTAAAATGTTCTGAGAGAAACAGCAACTGCAATTTACTATCTGACATTTTTCTATAATACAACGTGTTCTGGGAGTGCAGACTCTTGTAGTGAAATCCATTAGCTTGGATATGGGACATGCAGAGAAAGAATAAAGTGACTTGAGAAGGTTGAACAAGAAGTACTAACAGCAAAGTTCAACAAAAGTGCTGCCCAGTTTTCTTCAGCCACAACTTTCACTTGCACTGGAAAGAATTATTCCAAATCAGTACCAAGTCTTTTGTAGAGACAGACATAGCAGTTCTATGCACTTTTTTCTTTTACTTGTAGAGAAACCCAAATGTTATTTACCTGGGATTGGTGTACACTGTATGGATCCTGAGGGGCCACAGACACTAAAAGCAAAATTTTCAAAAATTAAAATGTTGCAGATGTTTTATGGTATCTGTTAGCAGAGCCAAGAGCACAGAAAAGTAGAAATTCGTCACTTGATCTTCATTCATACTACTAGATATTTTTCTGGGTGTAATATTTTCCAATATTGCCTATCATTATTTCATTCAAAGCAAGTCATCACTTTCATTCTTTAAGTACCTATCATGAACCACTTTGTGTTGCAAATTGCAATAGTGCAATAATAACAACTGTTTTTCAGAGTAGTGAACTTAGAGCTAGATGGGGGGGGGGTTTGTCTCTGGTCGCTATGTGGAGTCATAGATGTGAGTGCTGTCATTAGTAAGGCTCTAGAATGAGCAGTTAGGACTCAGCTATCTCTTTCAGGGCTAGTACAGATCATTTCAGATTACAGTGATCTTGAAATCCCAGTTTTAAGCGAGAATGCAGGGCAGAGTAACCTCCTCTTCCCTAAGAGCCATGAGTATCAGAAGGCTGTTCTAGAGACACACTCAGGTTTCATGCCATTGTATCATTTATGACACTTCAAAAAGTATATTTAATGAATTTGTTAATACACTTATTATAATGACACTACCAATGTAGAATCTGGATTATTATGTGTTTGGAAAATTATGTATGAAAAGTTTAGAATCTATATGTATTCTAAGTACAGCATTTTTTGAGTTTAAATCTGTACTAGAATAAATGGCATTGTTCCTCTGATTTGTATAGATAAGTGCTAGAACATAGCAGCTCTTCAGTTGAAGTTGCATCTCTATTTGCTTGAGGCCCAGTAAAGTAAATGGAGGGGCTCAGCATACCTAAATTCTTTCCTGAATTACTGAAAACGTTTTTGCATTTTTTATATACCATTTTGTACAGTTCTCTTCTGTGGGTATTTCGCTCCCAGGGAGAACAGGAGTTCCATTGATGTAACACCAACATTGATCTTCAGGCACACATTCCTTTGTCTCTTCGTTATAAACAGGCTTGTCCTCAGGGCATCTAGGGTAGCAACCTGTTGATGACAAGTAGAACAGTATTCAGGATGAAGAAAAAGTATGTATTAAAACTCAATGATCATTTACCTTCTGAAGCTAAATGATTCTCACTGAATCAAGCATGGTGAAAGAAATAAAAAATTTCCAATTCAAATTACTCCTTGGACAATTAGTCTTTCCAAAAGACTTAAAACAAACAATTCTGACTGATAATACTGGGGTGAGGAGGATTAAACAAGAGTTTAGTCATGAAAACTAGGGAAGTTGTTTTTTCTTAATTCAAGATCTTTGAGAACTCCCTAATTTATATTAAATTCTATGGGCAGCTAGTAATTTTAAGACAAAGAAACATCCCTATTTTTCTGCAGATATCCAAATGTGATCACTATATCTATAGTATTGTTATGAAGAATGTGGAAGTGGATTCCTTAAACAGGTCAAAACATTTATTGGAACCCTAGACCTTGTTTAGTGCCTTTAATAGACCATGTATCTGCACCCCAAACAGATAATTTATCTGCATTTTTCTGTACCCTTGGCTAGTGACCCAAACACCACCTGCAAGGGATTAACTGTCTGCCAAGCCTCATTGCATTTTTCATATAAATACACTTTAAAAAAGTTACTGTGTCCTGCTTCCAAATAAACTCTCAAAAAATACAGTTCTTAATTTCTCTTTATGCTGTACTGGAGTTCTAAATAACCTATAAACTGAATGACCATGTAATTAACTGGTACTTAAAAGCCACTTCACCTTGCCAGGCTGTACTAAAAATGTGCTAACAGAAGTGTGTTCTGTATTTCCATTGAAAATAAAAACCAAAAATAATTTAGAAAGATAATTGGATATATAAGAATCAGCCTTCTCACACTTTCCGAATCTTTCTAATAATCTAAAGCAATCTATTTCAAAACACAGAGACAACTTTTTTTGTTTTGTTAGTATTTTGGTAAAGGTGTGGGGTTTTTTGTTTTGTTTGGTGGTGTTACCAGCAGTGCAAGGATTAAAATAGTAAAGTCAAACTCTGGGCAGTTCTTTCCAATCCCTAAACTGGAGATAACTGCTTCCAGTCGAGACCAAAACAACTGTGTGGCCAAAAACACGGCTGGTTTTCCCAACTTTTTCATGTCAGAAGATAGCTGTGAAGTCATTCACAATCTTGGATCTTATAGTCCGTGTAATGTGAAATTCCTTTTCAGTTAGTAAGCACAAGGACTCTCACCTGCTAATATTATATCTCTACATACTTTGATGGTTTCAATGGGATTTAAATGGCTCGTGCATTCTCTGAGTGGGATGGAATGCAGAATAACCTGTTTTAGCCTGACATCTCGGTCTTAAAGCCTAACTAAAAAGTACAAATGAAATACACTAAAAATGGAGGTGGCCCTTCAGTAGCCCTCTGACAACATTTTGTGGTCTCCGTTAAGAATCCAATATATAGCAGCAGCGCATCTGATATCAAAGATATTTTCTATTGTAAAGGTTGTTGCACATTAATCTAATAAAGTCAAGATGGATCTGACACATAAAGAATGATAAGGTTGAAAACCCCAGCTATCAGTAACTTGCTTCTTTGCTATATAAAAGGTACTCCTTCTTTTGAAATGCCCTTAGGATGGAATGAAAAATAACAATGGGTCTAATAATCCCACATTTTTCAGGATATTATCGAAGCAGAGACCTAGTTGTGTGTCTGACAGCAATGTAACTATCACCCACTGATGTTTATAAATAATGACATTACAGGAAACTTATCCAAGACTGAAGACAAATTCAACGTAACAGTCAAGCTGACTAACTATTCCATACTCATTAAACTATACCTAGAAAAAGTTATATAAAATAAAATACAGAAATGGCAAGGAATTTATTACCTTCCAGGTATGGCACTGAAAAGTTGGTGCTGACATTATTAATCATCCTGCAGGTCACAATATTACTGCCACAAGGCTCATAGTGCCACTCACACTCATTACGAGGGTTGTAGTAGTCACAAAATATCGCTGATGAGAAAAAAAGAGAAGCTGGTTAAAACCATGGTTGCCAGAATGCAGCTCTGATCAGGTCTTTAAAGGTACAACTTAAATGAATCTACATGTTAAGCGAGCGAAATTTTTCTTGAGGTATGGGACCTGGACTTTCTTTTCTACTGTACATCAAAATTTGGGGTCAAAACTCTGGGGCCCAAGATGTTCACTGTAAACATTCAAGCTGCAGGATGAAAATGTTTGATTCAAATCACCAAAAAAAATTAAAGAATTAGTGTTGATTTTAATTCAAAATTAAGGGTAGGTTTCTGAGAGTATTTTTCTTCCCTAGCTACTAGCAACACCTAAAAAAATCTTGCAGTATATTCGAAATAGCTCTACCTTGCTGTATCCCATGGGCTGAGAGTCACCACCAGCCGGCCAAAAGTAAACATATAAGACACTACGGATGCAACTTAAAAGATAATTCAGCTTAGATGACTATGGACAGAGGAAGAAGCTTTTATAAACTTATAAACAGAGCTCACTGAAACGTCTAACTTCTATTTCACTGACTTCTTATACTTAAAATCTACAACTAGCCTCAGTTCTGAATTAGAATGAACTTTTAAAATTTTAAAAATTTCTGCCACTTAGAATCTCAAAATTTTGTTTTGAGCACTTTTGGGGAAAATATTAATTTAAGTATTATTTTACATGATTTTATGATGTACTGGTATGAGCATTAGCACCAATAATGGATACTGCTTAATATATTCAATACTGATTAGGGTCATCTACACAGGAGTACTTCTATCTACACAGGAGAAAGAAAGAAGGCAGGAGGGAAGAGAAAAAGAGGGGGGGGAGAAAGAGAGAAAAAAGGGGGGGAGAAAGAAAGAAAGAAAGAAAAATTGAAATATACAAATTTACTAGTTGTTTGTTCCCTGATATGTTGCAAAAATAAATTGCATTGCATAGCCAGCATGACCTTGCAGTGATAGTATTAATGATTTGATAGGCTTTCTGACGGCAGCCAGAAACATACAATTGTGTTTAACTGTTACTCACGGCATATATCAGGAGTTCTCCAGAAAACACAGGCCTGAGCCTTAGTACATTCTTGAGCATATGCAGCAACTGCAGAACAGAAGCACTCACAATCTCCACCACTGTCACAAGAGCAGGCATCATGAACACAAGCTTCATAGAAAGGAATTGGGTCCACCTTTTGGGGAAAGAAATGATGCCCCAGTTCATCTCCAAATTAGTTTTCAAACTAGTAAGCTTGAGAGATCACTTGAGATACAGGAATTCTGCTGGGCAGGAATAAGACTGTTTCTGAGAATTACCAAATCACAAATTAATATTATAGGCTTGAAGCTGCTTAATGTATTTTGGATAATAATACACTTAAAGTAATAAAGTACCTTCATACTTGCTATAACTGAAAAAATAAAATAAGAGTCCTTGGCAGTGCCCACATTTTCTAACAGAGTTCCATTTTCCTGCTCTCAAAACCAAGTTGGACTGATGCCCAATGAAGTCTTATCTTCCAGCAAGCTTTGCCAACCAAGCGATGAGCAATATCAGAAAGGCTGCACTTCACAGCAATCTGAAGTAGAGAATTTTGTGATCGCCAGTTTTTGGAGTTTATCCAATGATACATTAGGAAAACATTTCCACTTTTTTTGCTTGGGACTGCAAGATGAGAAACTTAGATTGGATTTTAGCTGCTAAAGGAATCAATACACAAATACATATTGAACAACCCCATGCAACACTACAGGCTTGGTTGGAAAGCTGCCCAGAGAAAAAGGACCTGAGAAAGTTGGTCAACAGCCAGCTGGATATGAGCCAGCAGTGTGCCCAGGTGGCCAAGAAGGCCAATAGCATCCTGGCTTGTATCAGGAATAGTGTGGCCAGCAGGAGCAGGGAAGTGATTGTACCCCTATACTCGGCACTGGTGAGGCTGCACCTTGAATGCTGTGTTCAGTTTTGGGCCCCTCACTCCAAGAAAGATGTTGCGTTGCTGGAGTGTGTCCAAAAAAGGGCAATAAAGTTGGTGAAGGGTCTACAGAACAAGTCTTATGACGAGCGCCTGAAGAACTGGGATTGTTTAGCCTGGAGAAAAGGAGGCTGAGGGGAGATCTTATGGCTCTCTACAACTACCTGAAAGGAGGCTGCAGTGAGGTGGGTGTCAGTCTCTTCTCCCCGGTAACGGGCGATAGGATGAGAGGAAATGGCCTCAAGTTGCACCGGGGGAGGTTTAGATTGGATATTAGTAAAAATTTTTTCATGGAAAGGGTTGTCAAGCATTGGAACAGGCTGCCCACAGAAGTGGTTGAGTCACCACCCCTAGAGGTATTTAAAAGACGTGTAGATGTGGTGCTTAGGGGCATGGTTTAGTGGTTGACTTGGGAGTGCTAGGTTTACAGTTGGACTTTATGATGTTAAAGGTCTTTTCCAACCTACACGATTCTGTGATTCTAAGTTAATTAAATTAATAATTCTTTGCAACTTTTCCACTGTAAGTTAAGAACAAACTGGTTCTAATATTACCATACTTCAGGAAAAAAGACAAGAAATAGAGAAGAGTGCTCTCTGCGCACTGTGCTCTGGAAGCTGTGAGCCTGATACAGTGTATGCTATGACAATTTGGAGGCACAGTACTAGCAGCTAAGCTTGTCTACACTGCACGATGTCAGTGGTTTCCAAGGAGATCCCTTCTGTGGGTTGGAATATTACAAGGAGCAGCGGTCTCTTCAATGCCACCTTTCAAGTATGTATTTCTGTCAGAAGATGGGACTGATGACTTATAGTGCTGACAGCCTCTCAACAAGAGATGGTGCAACTGCGGCACACACAGACCTATTCAGGCTAGATTTATGAAGCCAGCTTGCACCAGCAGTAGCAGTGAAACTGTGGTGATGAATATGGGCTTGCACAGCTGGGGCTGGCACCACTACTGACACAGTCCATTGCTACAGATTCTCTAACTTCTTTGAGTACGGCTAGCTGAAATGTGCTGATACCTGTAGCTGTACTGAAGACTTAATTGAAGCTCACTCTAACCATCTCGTCATTCATTTCTGATAACCTCTCTGCTTCTGCAGTAACAGAAATGAACCGTGCTGCCTGATCACTTACTGCCCTCTACAAACCTTGGAGTGACAAATTTTAAAGACATCACTCTGGATGATGCTGCATTCTTTCCCTGCCCAGGACTTCCGATGTGGTTTCATATCACAGGGCTTAATCTCTTGTGTGACATCTGGGCACATGGAAGACTGTTTCCAGGAATTCCCAAACTTCAGAGCATTAGTCTCCTGCAGCCCACTCCTTGTTGTAAAGTCATTGTTAGACTTGTCATCAAAGTTGCCACACAGACCACACACTTTGCCCTGGAAAAGAAAATTAACATAGTCACAGTTTTTAAATACACCATGGAAGTGAGAAACAGACTCCAGTAACACTGACATTAAAATGGACAACTGACTCTCCGTGTAAATGACATATTTTCATCTTTACTTCCAAATAATTTGTACAGAAATTTGTCTGTGTACTCAGCTAACTATTCAGCTGCCATGTCTTCCCTCCTTGAAACCCAATTATACCTGGTGTATTTCCATGTCTCTGTGGTGGCCCTTCATCCAACTTGTAACACTAAAGAGTGGCTAAGCCTCTTTCAGATGAGAAGAATTCATTTATTTTCCATTCTTCTAAATTTATCATAACTCAGCTACTAATATAAGCCTGAGGGAATTTCATTCTGCTCAAAACTTTTTATTAAAAGCTTCTAATATAATGAGCACCATTTCTTCATCCATGGAAAAAAGAGGACATTTTTCTTGAAATAAAGAATTTAGCAATTTACCCATAATAGTGAATTTTTGGTAGCGCTATTTAAGGTACATCAGCCCCCTCAAGCAACAGTATGACGCTGTTTATACAAACCCACAACTTCCACATTCAGCCCAATGAGTTCAGTACTCTCTAATTCACCATGCTGATTTTTACAAATCAGAACCATCTCCGTACACTGCATAGGGAGTTTGGTTGTAACTCAGGGCTGAGATTCTTTGCAGGTTTACAAGAGCATGTACAGTCAGTTAGCACCCTCTAAATTATTTTGTATGTTTGGCTCTTAATATTCACAAACTCAGAATGCCTTAGATGTTTAGCTTTATTGCAATCATATGCTATGCATCCTCTGCAATGCATTGTGATGGACTGTAAGGAACTCGAGTAGCACTTCTGCAACTGTGATAGGAATAATGCAAGCTAATCATCAATGTGCAGAGGATATAGGAATTAAACACAGAGTCAGAATAAAAGAATATTTATGTTTCCTTATCTCATTTATCTATTCATACTACTACTTCAGAAAAAGAGACAAGTCCTTACTTTGTAATCAGGGGCCAGCTTGATGAAAACAGTAGTCTTCTTATCCCAGATAAGCATCACACCATTGCTAGCCTCAATAACAAGGTAGAGGCCTACTGTCCTGTTCCAATAATGCACATCATCACCAATATCTCGCTGAATTTCTTTATAAACTTTGTCCTCCAATTTCAGTTCAGTTTTCTGAAAGATGAAAAGAGAAGTAACATTAATTTTTATGATGAGATAAAATATTAGATGCTCGTAACAATACATTTCATTCTGAAAGTCTGAGATGGCGTTCCAAGATGACAGAAAGTGCTGTAACACCTTTGTTTGATATAGGTTTCAGTACCTAATAATCTACAGCTTTACAGATTAATTTGGTAGGGCCTTTAACCTTTACTTATTGTAGCTGCTTTTAGGGATGTGGCTTGGGAGCATTAGGGTTTTTTAAATACTTGAATACTGATATATACTCACTCCTAAAAACATTTTAATAGCCTTTGAGCAGGTGACTCCTGTAGTTCCACAAGGGACGTTCTCTGTGATGATACTGAATGAACTGCTGGAATTTTTGTCACCACAAAAATCCTATTGAAAAAGGAAAAAATGAGCGTAAGAAAATTGGGTAGAATATTTAATTTTTAGTTTAATCTCATAATACAGTTATTTAAATCTCCACAATCTATAAATCATTACTGCTGCTTCATATGTGAAATCCTACATACATGTATTTTTACAGATGCACAAACATATACATGTGCATCTCTGCATACATATAAACAGTTACTACAGTCCCATGTGTGGCAAAACCTGGGAAACAAGTGGGACAATAAAACAAAATGAGGAATATATCTTTAAATATAATTATCTTTGTCTTGTAAACTCAGAATTTTGTTTTATTGCACAGCTCATAATGAGCTGTTAGCTCTCACTATAAAATAGCCTTGTTACATACAATTTATGACCACTGTATCAGAAAAAAAAAAATTCACACAGCTTGCCCACACTGAAAACACAGAATTTGTTTTGACAGAATGTGTAAAACACCTCAGGAACAGTGATGGTGGGCAACAAGAAATGACAAAACCAAAGAGGAAAGTAGATCTTCAAGGCAATCAGATGCCATTTCAGCCCTCCTGATGAGGATTACCTGAGTAGCCACATATTCACAACGCCCATCAAAGTCATAGAATTTTCCATCAAAGGTGATATAATGGCCACTTCCATATATCGTACAAGTTCCATAGCACACATATTTAGTGCAGCTCCAAAACCCTTTTTGGCAGGTACTAGGACAGAGCAGAAGAGTTGAGTTTTCAGATTGCACCAAGAGTGTGCTGTTTGGAAAACTGCAGAACAAACCAAGCAGCTACCTGATACAACATGAGAATGTGCACAATACCCGTTACAGTGTGTCTTAAATCTCAACTTCAATAGCTTAGCCTATTTTAAGCCCATAACATGATTTTTAACTCTGGCCAGCTACATTGTTTAGATCTGATAGCAATTACATTTGAAGTCAATGCACTTTCCCAATAAGAGGTGCCTACTGAAAACAGAGGTAGCTATTACCCCAATATTTTCAGTACAATCTGTATTTCCTCAGATAGCAAAAAAAGATAGGTTTATAGGAAAATAAACATTTATACTCGCAGCTATTGCAGCCACTGTAGTACATAAGCCTAGACACGACTATTAATTTACTGCATAGAATATATTCTAGAAGAACTTACCAGGTGTTGCAGTCCACTGCTAACTTCTGTCCAGGAGAATACCACTGGTTGTTATGAGTGCATGGGCAGTCCTCCTTCTTCTCAACACAGCCCCCTCTCCCATCATCAAATAGACCTTCAGGACACACACAGCCTGAGACACACTCTGCCTGGAACTAAGGAATATAAAGAGAAATTGTTACTTTATGAAAAAGCACTGCATTTTTCTTCTACTTCTTCAGAAACACTCTGGTAACAACTGCATTTATAACGAAACAGCCTAATATTGATTAGTTTTATAAGGTTTTTCTTTCTAGGTTTCTCATGTTTTTCTTTTTATTGTCTGAGAACCCAAATCATATCTCACTTGGGAGGTACAACTCCACTGAAGACACAGTTAAAAAAAAAAAAAAAAAAAAAAAAAAAAGGAGAGGGAGGCCATAACAGGAATCATCATGAAATTGGCAACAGAGCAATAACATTGGGGATAAAAGAAAGGAAGATTAAACCAAAGAGAAATAAACTGTTAGTTACAACTGCATTTTGTGTGTTGCACTGTGTCATTTAAAGAACACAGAATAAAGGAAACATGACATGGAGAAAAACTGAATACATACATAATCACTTTGAGGAGTATGACAGCTAAGTTGTACAGGCGTTTGGGAAGTCCACTTTGGGGATGCGTTGCAGTCAAAGTACGTCTTGTTAGAAGAACATTCTGTTGCACCTGAAAGGTACATTGTTGGTGTAGATGAAGCAAAAAAAGACAAAAGAAACGTGTGTGAAAGGCAGCAGTTACTGAGACAGAAATCTCAGAGCATGCCTAACCATACGAAAAAAAGAGGCTTGGTGAAGACAGAACAAAAGTGACAATGTGTAACTGTTTCACATAAAGAGAAAAAACAAACACAAAATAAGTGGAGAATTCAAATAGAAAGTGTAGGTTTGGGTTTGGAGATTGGGCTATTTTATTTTACTTTATAGAATGTCACTTACTTTTCATTCTTAATGTCACTGAAGTACACTGGACCTTTGCATTTCGGCAAACACTAGAAAAGAAGTGAAGTAGAAATTAAGAAAAAAGTAAGCTCAGTGTCTTGAATTTAAATCTAAGGATTTTTTTTATATGAATTTGACAGTATTTATCAGACATGTCCTGCATAATTTCTACTGATATTTCAAGGTGAACTCTACTGAAGCACGCTCATGAACTTTCACTTGGAGAAAAACTGTAGCAAGATTTTAGGCATAAAAAGGTTATGTTTTAAGGAATGACAGCTATTTTATTAATCCTTAATAGTATGCTTTTTGATGACTCAGGGAACAGATAGTAATGAAACAGATAATAATGACAATTTAAATCAAAGCCTTCATTTGGATACACAGTATATTTTCATGCCTATTCAATTCATGTGCTGCAAATTTGTTGGCTTGTATGCTTCATCTGCCAGATGAGAGAATGACATATTTCAGTCTGCACTGATGATTCATGCAGCAAACAGTTGTCAGAGTTCGTGATAAAAAATACCAGAAGCTTTCAAAAGCCTTTGTGCTACTGTAAATACATATCAAGGGGACCTTCCTCCAGTGGGAAAGACAAGCAATCTGTATCTGACAAAAAAGGAAATAGCAACACAACATTATAGGTGGCCTTTTATCTTCCTTTTACCCCTCTGCTCAACAAAATGCTATTAACAGCGCAGTTTCAGAGTAACATTTATCTGTGAAGGCCAGTACTCACACCTCCAAACAAAGCTGCACTTCTCAATTACCAATAAATTACATTGCTACAGGGTGATGCTTTGCTCAGCACGAAGATGGTGTGAAACGTATTACAAATGTTCATTAAAGCACCAAAAAGCGCTAAGCAGCTTACACATAATAAGCAAATTTTAAAAGGGCTTTTATCCCCAAAACCAAGACGACACAATAAAACATACCAGCGTTCTCCATCTTTTGTGACATACTCTCCCGGTTCCAGGTATGATCCCTTGTAATAACATGGGCACTTGGAGATGGGCACACAGGTATCCTGGTTATCCAGGTATGTGTTATATGGGCAGCCACAGCCATCCACAGGAGCAAAGTCTTGCAAGCAATGCTTTTCACCATCAGCAAGGGAACGACAGGTTTGCTGGCACATTGTAAGGTTGTAAAGGAAGATTTGATTTCCTGGGCAGGCAGACAATTCTCTAGCTAGAAGGAAAAGAAACAAATTGATAAATAAAGGATGCAGGATGGGCAATTTAACCTTGACATTTCTGGTTTGGTTTCTTTGCCTGCACAGCATGCAACAGTAAAAACATTCCCTTAGATTTTATTAAAGTACAAAAATACGGTAAGTCACAAGTAACGCTAGCCTAACTTTGTTTACTAGTTGATGACTTCTTTTTAACTGCTACTAATAGTTTCTACTTTCATACCCATATTTGTTTTTAATACTGATAAACAGAGAAGAGAGCACCATATAATAAACTCCTGCTCTCAACAATACTGTACCGTTGATGAAAAGCAAGCACAATGATAAACGAAGACACTGATAAGCAGAGACAATGAAAAAGCCATGATGGCTGAGATTCCATTAGTCAAAGATAGAAACAGCATCATTATTTAAAACTGGGGAAAGAAGGTGAAAGTGGAAAATATCGCTTTCTACTTTTAAACGTCATGAACAAATGACAGCTAAAGAATATAACATGAATTAGTAAATATTATAAGAATTGTCTCTTTTAAGTCCATTAGACATTTCTAAGACACTCCAAATCCCTTAACATTGAGTTCACTGACAACCAAATTCAGAGAGAACCAGCTTATTTCTCATGGCTAATTAGTTCCATGGGGATTACAGTTCCACTACTTACTGCAGACACTTTTTCTCCAGCCTCCCAGTATGATTCCTTTGAAAGCACAGGCTCTTGAGTAAGAGGACAGGGCAGCACATAAGCATTCTTCATTGTCTTCACAGAGGCAGGTGTCATATTTACATTTCTGAAAAAAGAACAAAAGGGTCAGTAAGCCACAGGAAACCAATGGCCAGTTGCACTCAGTTGCTATGAAATATTCTGTATCCTTTTTCTGATGTTGTTTTTATTAATTCCCATGATCAGAGAACAATGGAAGGAACAGCCAAAGACCAGCAACTGAAAGTGCTGCTTCATTTCATACACAATGAAAACGTTTGCATGCTTATCCTAACCTAAGCCAAGCCTCTTGAACATTTAAAAAGTAGCCAGCCTCCTAACAACACTTTTCTTATAGGATCTTGATACCATTCTTTCTCAGTTATAGCTTAGAAATGCAGAGATCCATAAAAATTGGAAGTCATAATGCAAAATATTAACCAGCTCTATGAAGATCTTCACAAAATTTGAGCTCAGACTGAGTGCCAGGCATGGAAAAGACGCAGAAATTTTTTGCTCAGGTAAGCCTCACTTACCACTCAACAGTGATGAGCTCAGGGGAAAAAGAAATCATGGAGATTCTGGCACGAAAATTATTTGGTGCCATATTCCAACCAATACAGGAAACTTAATAAAAATTTACCTTTTTTTTCTGACTTAATAGCAACTAATGTGTAAGGGTAGACTTAAACTTACTGTGCACACCTGCATCTCTTCACTCTTCTTTCCAGTTCAAATATCCGATACAATAAAAATGTAAATTAATTGCAAAACATAAGAAACCAGAAGAAAAAATTTACCTTTTCCTTCAGCAGCATTCCATAAGAATCTTGTCATAGGAGACACTTTGGATGCATGCTATACTGCCTTAGTTAATCACTGTAAAAAATGTCACCAGCTCTTATGGGCAGCCTACTAAGTAATGTCTCAAATATTTGAACAATGATAAATGTCTACAGTCACCCATCTGAAATAAAGCAGTACTAAAAAGAGTGCAAGATTACAATACCTTATAGTATTCTGAAGGATCAATGATTAAGTGACATCTTGCAAAAGGACCCTCTGGGTTTTTCAGCAAAGAACACCAATGCTCAGCATAATTTGCTGCAAAAAAGGAGAAAAATTAAATTACTCTATTCATTACATTCACTAATCTTCCTTGTGCCATGTCTAGCCATGTTGTCACAAAAATGCAACACAACAATACAAATGAGAGAAATGTGTGCACTTTGGGGAGTGGAGAAACTACATTCAATCACTGCACATGTATTTCTATTCTCCAATTCGGTTATCTAGCAGTAGACACACAATCATAAAACCAAAAATTGTATCTTACTGCTGCAGCTTGTCTACACGGAATTGTGACAGCCCTTTCCATTTGGGGACCATAAAGTTAAGTTAAACGTGGGGATAAATACTATTAGGAAATAAAAGCTGCCTTTGCAGATAATATAGATGAATGACCTTGCTTCCCTATCTTCCAGCTCAGTATTTCTTTACCATCAGCCCCTAAACTTTCACTTCAATTTGATACAAAATCAGTGCTCATATGTATACATACTTGCAGAAATTAATTATTTATTTACAGTCCTCAAAAAAAAAAAAACCAAAAAAAAACTTCAATGCTGCACTACAACTCCTACATGCCTGTTGCTATAATATACAAACATTGTTCGTTCTGGCAGAAACCAACCATCTGACTTCTTAGTGTGCTTACCACTTTCAATGCTAAGACTGCAGGGGTCTTCCAGCTTTTCTACCTGGTCTGTACATGTGGACTGAGCTTTCCATGTGTTAGCAAAGGCAGATCCTGTAGCTTCTACCAGCCCACTGGTTGTTTTAAAGTCATCACCTTCCATTCCATTAAAGTTTCCACAAAGACCTATTGACAAACAAGGTGAAAATTTTACCTAGTTATTACTCATTCTCACTCTAAAAGGTCAAAGGAAAAGGGACAACTGATCACAAACATTAGAAACAGAAATTCATACAGCTGATTATTCCACCTCACTATTAATGCATACTATAAGTACTAAATATTTAGGAGCCCTATTTTAAATCTTTAACCTCTTGAGAATCACAGAATGGTTTGGGTTGGAAGGCACCCCTAGAAGTCACCCAGCCCAACCCCCCCGGCAGGGAGCAGGGACACCGCTAACCAGATCAGCACCCCTGGCCACCCTGGCCTTGGATGTTCCCAGGGATGGGGCCTCCACCACCTCTCTGGGCAACCCCTTCCAGTGTTTCACTACCCTCACTGTAAAGAATTTTGTCCTTATATCCAGTCTAAACCTACCCTGGTTTAGTTTAAAACCACTACCCCTTGTCCTGTCACAGCTGTACCTACTAAAAAGATTTTCACCCATCTTTCCTATAGGCTCCCTTTAAGTACTGAAAGGCCGCAGTAAGGTCTCCCCACAGCCTTCTCTTCTCCAGGCTTAAGAACCCCAACTCTCTCAGCCTGTCCTCATAGCAGAGGTGCTCCAGCCCTCGGATCATTTTCGTAGCCCTCCTCTGGACCCACCACAACTGCTCCATGTCCTTGTGCTGAGGGCTCCAGAGCTGGACACAGTACTCCAGGTGAGGTCTCACCAGAGCAGAGTAGAGGGGCAGAATCACTTCCCTCGACCTGCTGGCCATGCTAGAAGACTAGTCTTCATGAAGATAACTCTGCCTCAGGACATCACTGCCCTAACACCTGTATTTTTTATGCTTTCTGATGATATTAAAACCACAAAATGCACCAAAAGCCTGGTTTTGTCGATAGTTAGAAATTAAACTGAATACAAATATAAGAAATATTCTAAGAAACACTGATGTACTGGTACTGCAGTGATAGGTCAATTCAATATGAAATAATAAAAACGCATTTCTCGTTTGCTTGACTCAATTCTCTTCAAATGTTTTTGTTTCTGATTTTAGTTTCCTCCTCTTGAATCAGTAAGTAGTGCAAATTATCACTCATGTGAAGAATACAGGACTCTTCAGCATGGCTTTGCTTCCCATTTGAATAGACGCTTGCCTTGAAGTTTTCCTTGAACTGATTGATCCACAGTCACAAACAGCTGCATGACTGGAAACAACTGGATCTGCAGCTGAAGCCTGAAAGCAGTTTGCACAACAAGGTAGTAGGAAGATGGCTTGAATACTGAGAAGCTGGCTGAAAAACAAAACATAAACTGTGTAGTAAACATACACATAGGCTGCCAAAAGAAACACTTCTTACTAGATTTTAAGGTATCACGTGCCATGAAAACTCTGAGATCAGGATCAAATTCATAGGTTTTTTTCCTCTAAAAATCACTGGCCCCACTAGACACAATGGTGGTCCCCACTAACCTAACAAGTTGATTACCTATAATGACTTATCCCTGGGATCACAACCAAATTCAGATTTTCTGCAATACAGCTTCAATGCTAACTCATTAAGGCTGAGCAATCTGAAGAGCAAGAGATTTTCTGAGAAAGTATTACCCCAGCACTGTCGCATACAGTAAGTAATAGTCATGTCTCTACAAGCCAATACATAGCTAAATATGCTACTAATGAAATGTTAGATGCTTATACGTAAGTTAAGCCATTAGAGAAAAATCAGCAGAACTGACATACAAAATCAGCATAGTGGAGGAACTGGACTTCTTAATTAGAATCATAGAATATATTGAGCTGGAAGGGACCTGTAAGGATCACTGAGTTCAACTCCCTGCTCCTTGCAGGACTGCCTAAAACTAAACCACATGACTAAAAGCAATGTCTAGACACTCCTTGAACTCTGACAGGCTTGGTGCCACGACCACTTCCCTGGGGACCCTGTTCCAGGTATTGACCACCCCCTCAGTGAAGAACCTTTTCCTAACATCCAATCTGAAATTCAGATAAAGAATTACTTTCTTGCAAATAATATACCATCTGCAGATAGGCCGGTAAATAAGAAGCAACACATACGGTGTCAGTGTGCTGCCTGAGCATACCTAAAAAGAATCGATAAAGAGAAGTTCTATATTCCTTTCAAAAGTTACTCCCAGAGCTCACAGATGCTGTTTGATAGTGACCTTCCACCAGAAGTTAGGCTCCTAAATTAGGTGATCTGAGTCAGCCTCTGAAAGTGTCTGTCTAAATCCACTGATTATATAAAAAGTTGATGATGTCTCAAGCTGGGAAGATGAGGGGGTGCTACACAGTATGACCTTCTTTCCTGCCCTGGTTGACCAGCAAATACAGCCATTACCTTCTGCCAGCCTTTCTTCCCACAGCAAAAAACAAACATACACACACAACCACACAAACAAACAAAACAAAAACCAAACAAACAACCCCAAAAAAACCCCAAAAACATGGGGAAGAAGTTGGGTGGGGTACACATGCCTGAGCCTCACCATGACTGAGAGCCAGGACATGTCAACACCATGCAGCCAGGCTTGGGAAGTGCAAAATACCCCTCTTTATAGGCAGGTTAAGTTATCTGCTTTAAATTTAAGCCATGACAATTCCTCTTTCCCAAGCTACATGCCGAAGTACATTCAAGATGTATGAAAAAAATGAAGAGCCTTTTTTTTTTCAATCATCCACTGAAAAGAGTCAGTCTGTCCACGACACTCTCAGTGACAACTTTTAAATCATATTCATCCCCAAGCTGTTACAAAATCTGAACACGTTTCGTATGCCTCTTCCACTTTTGCCTCTGAAAAAATACCCACCCCCAACCCCCCAAGAAGTCAAGTGTGTGACACAACACACAAGGCTATGTCCCTTACCTGACACATGAGGCACATTCACTGTCATCTCATTCAGTAAGACAGTGCCATCTGGTCTGAAAACCACCACCTGTGTAATAGCAAATAGAATCAATGAGGTTCCAGGTACTGAGAGGAAAAGGAACTAAAAAAAAAAGGAAGGGAGACATTTCGCACATTTAGACTGTGAGTAGAACTTAAAATCTTTGAAAGGAAGAATCTGTCTGAAAATTGAATGTGGCAGCAGACCTGTAGGGTACAAGTAACATTTCATCTTGCTATTCAGTTTTTCACTTACACCTGCCTACAACAATTTATAGCAGTAACGAAATGCAAAGCTTGTTAATATTGGGCACCTTGGCTTCAGCAAGTAAAAGAAAATATTGGGCCTTCAGGATCTATAGTGAGTTCCTATTCCCTATAAAAGCTTCAGTGTAATATTTTAGTGTGATTCTGGCATGGTAAGAAAGCAGTTTGTCAAACTTCCTCATAAAATGCTAGTCTGTACATACAGAAACATAATATGATGGGTTTCTAACTTGGTTTGGTTTTGTTCTAGTTATGCTGGCAAGGACATGGAAGACCAGAAACACAGGAAGAACATTATGGGTGTAAGTATGTAAAATTATGTATGAATATAGTCTAGATATTCCCATAACCAAACAGAATACTAAAGTGAATGAAACTATAAATATTTAAGAGGTTGGATCGTATCAGTATTCCAAGATGAGGTCTCTTCTGAAAAGGACTCAATTAGATCTAGAAAATTGTATCTGAATAAGGGTAAAATACTGTGAGGGGAGGAAGAATGGTACTCTTACTTTCAGCCAGCCTAGAATACAGTGAGAATAATCATATAGCTCAGAGCAGAGAAGGAAAGAGAGAGGAAAACGTCAGCTTATTTGAATCTCATCTTTTGTTCAGTTTAGGTCTATTTTGAGCTCTCGAGGCAGAAGCCCGAGTTGTTTTTCAGGCTGTCTGAGGTGCCTTATCTATACACAATAGCAACTCCAGAAGAATTAGCATATTTCCCTTACTGTGGAACAACGGCATATCTAGCAGAACCCACAGAACACTTACATTTTTTTTGTGATCTACTAACAGCACAACAGTCTTCAAACAGGTCTGCCTGTCTGTGGAGCCACAGGGAGCCAGTTCTGCCAGGAGAGCATGACTGTCATTTACAGTACCCTACAATCGCAGGGAAATAAATGTCCATTAGTCCAATCAAGAATCTCAAAAGATTATTTGCAAATCAAAGACTGAAGTCATCAGTTACAATAACAATTACTGTAGAACTTGGCTGTTAAGACCACCATTTCAGCACTGGCTCTGGAAGCTGAGCCATCTTTCAACAGTGGTATGGTTTCTAGTTCAACAAGATCTTTGCCATGAATGAAATAGATGCCTAGCTCCTTTCCTTAGCTGACTGACACTCAGACACAGAAACAGCTATTACATATATGGCTGAGAGCTTCTAGTCCTGAGAACTGCCAATTTTTCAAGTCTACCTATTCATGCAGCCAGAGCGATCCTTTGATTTCTTGCACATGAAGGACTTCCCTGGATAATAACAGCATACATAGTCTACTATCTAAGTTAACCACCCATTGCAGTACATGCCCAACTTCCCCCTAGGGCTATTACAGCCCATCCTGAACTTTCCAGTACAGCTTTTAGCATTTCTGCTTCCCTTACCTCATAAACATAGAATAAAACAACAATTCACAGCTGCTACATATCTGTGCACAGACACTTGTATTTACAAGAGAAAAGCTCTACAGTACACAGTACCTTGGCCAACATATAGTAACAGTCTCCATGGAAGGTGTATTTCTTCCCATCAAAGGTGGTAAAATGGGAACCTCCTTCCACTGAACATGTGCCTGGACAGGGTAGATCTTTGCACGTCCATCTGCCCGAATCACAGGTGCTATAAACACACAAATAATAGAAAAATGCTTGTAGATACTACAGGAGCTGAGAGCACTGAAAGCATCTGTATATCTAACAAACTGCAAGATATCCCCCAGTGTTTAAAAACTGTTTTTGACTGTTTCCTTAAGATTTCCCCCCTGCCATATGCCATAGATACAAGAAAACATTTCAGAAAATTGATTGTATAGACATGCAACATAAATGTTAAGTTCAGAATGTTTTCAGGAAGTGTCCTATGACTAAGTGGAAGATTGAAAAGCACAGACAGACCCATTTACAATCATTCAAAGAAAGGTGTGTAAACAACCATGATCCTTACCATTCTTCACATTCATTGGTAATGTTTTCTCCAGGTGAATACTCCTTTCCATGGAGCTTGCAGTGGCACTGGCTAGGAGGTACGCAGCCTTTTTCAGTAATATCATCATACACGGTTCCTGTAAAGCAGAACAGTAAACTATTCCAGCTCTTTCCGTAATAAACATTTTGCACAGAGGAGAAACTCGCAGAGGAGGCATGCTCTCAACTTGACACAGAAAGCAGAGGCTGAGATTATCAAAACTGTGAGGAATGCTGTTTCTACTTTTTATATTATAAGACACATGGAAAACACTTTTATACAGCTTTGAAAATCTAAGTCTATCCATTTATGTAACTATACACAGATGAAAAGCTTAATATAAGTATAATAATAATCTCAGAATTTTACATTTGTAGATTTTCAGTCCTTCTGGCATACTCTGTAGACTATCATTATAATGTTTTTCCCCAAGGTTGATGGTAAGTCTGAAAATGTCACTCACTATGCCTCATTATCATTCTCTGGGCCAATAATGTCCATTGCCTCAGAATTATTCAACCTAAACCCCATGACTTTCTGTGTATTAGCAGAATTCCATTTGTTGAGAATTAAAAAGCAGATTTATTACCTGTCATTATGTTAATATGATTTAACTATAAAATCACTAATTAATCAATTATGACCTTCTTTTTAAAAAACCTTATAATTATGTTCCCCTGGGGAGGGAATAATGAGTAGCAGTACTAATTTTTAAGATCTAATTTGACTACTTTTAATATTTTAGCTATGAACTCCTGTGCCAGAGCTCTTGGTTTTGTTCCATATACAATAGCTAGAATAACACTTGCCTTCAGGGCAGAAACAACCATCCATGTAGTGTTCCTCACAAAGGCTGCTGACCTCCAAGTGCGAGCATGTATCCATGCAGGGCGAGCTGCTTTCTCTATAGATCATGGTATCAGGACAGGTCTTGGCTGAAAGAACGAGAAAGACACCACCAGTTATTTGAGTATGAAGTCCATCGTTCTTCATAAACCACAGATCATACCTCCTATGACCCTCAAGCCATAGCTGTACCAAGCCAGACTCCATCTGGCAAAGCATGTTTGTCTCTTTCTGAACTACTTTGCCTGCTTTTTATATTTTCTTGTTTTGGTCTTGAATAGATCCAATTATCCCAGTCATCTGCAGCATCAGACCTGACAGTTTTTTCACGGGAAGGGAATTGCTACTTGCTGAAAAAGATTTCTTAATAACTAGGGTAATAGAAGAAGAAAACAGGAAGAACATAGTATGTAGTTTATTGCACTACTGGTATGCAATTTGTAATATGTCTATAGTTTTGTAAAGAAGGAATGAATTTAAATGTTTCACAGTGCTACATCCACGAAATATTTGTTTCTTTGTAAAATTTATATAGCTGCTTACGGCACAAGTACTGTGTCCTCCATTCACCCGGACGGCCACCCGCATGCGAACACTGGCGAGAATACTCAGAGATGGTGCTGCAGAGGCAGAAGGAGTCCTCACTTCCATTACATGCACACTTGTCCTGCATGCAGGCTTGGATGTACATTTCCAAATTAAGACGTAATTGACAATCAGCAAATGCAGAGGAAGTCAGCAACTTCTCACACTCATCACGCTACGGAAGAAGTATAGTATTTAGGAGATTTATAAGCAACTGAGCTTCTAGACACTTCCTGTCGTGTCATAAAAACTGTTGTCTTCTGAACAGCAACAGTTATTCAAGAAAGGAAGAAGAAACCATTTGCCCTGGAAGGGACAAAGCCTCCCCGGAACTTCACACACTAACCTCCTGTAGCACAAGGATAACTCCATGTGCCCATGCAAGTGAAGTTAGCCACTAGGAATACTCACATGCCCATTACAGCTTGGAAGAGCTTGAGTTTCATCAGGATCTTCACATTTGACATTGGGTTTGCTGATCTTCTGTAAATTCCCATATGTAATTGAATTGTAGCTTGCACCTATGAGAAAAAAATTACAAAGAGGATTGCTGAGCCCCAAAAACTGACAACAAGGAACATCTGATTACTGGGACTCTACTGATCAAGGAAAACAGTTACTATGGTATCAAATATCCCTGTCAGAAACAGGTCTCTGCTCTGAATTATGTCTATTACGTCTGAATGTGCTTACAAAATTTAAAGTGGTAACAAGAAATGGCAGCCAGTAGGGAAAAGAACAAGATGATTCATCTGGAATAAAATAACCTTAGACCAGGAATGCAGCACTGGAACATAATGTCTATTCTGGGGCAATCACAGAAATCTCTCAGGTGAAATTTGCTCCCCTGTGATGCTCCTATGCACAATGCTTATCACAGAAGATAGGCTGATAACTGTCAGTATTGTAGGATGACTCACCTCCTTTGATAAACTCATTGTAGATTGGAACACCATTGTAATCCCCACAGAGACCACATGTATGGTTATTAAATTTGCTGTCCAGCTCCACCTAGGTAATGGAAAGAAAAAGCAGAAAAGAATCATCTGGAGCACACAGAGATTCCAAAGCACAGAAGATTCAAAAGGGAAGTTGTTAAATGGCAAACTGATGGTGAGCTCAAAACTCTTAGAGAAGTAGCCACTGCTAATGAATTTGTAACATAGTTGATAAACACAGCTAGATGCAAAAAGCAAGAGAGAAAACAGAAAGAAGTGACTGAAGCTCCTGCATATCAATAATGGCAGTAACCACCGTGGTGATAAAGATGAAGAGGAAAGCATTCTTAGAATCACAAGACTTTTGTTTCGTTTTTCTCCTTTTTTTCCCCACTGGGATAAAAATTAAGTCTTTCTTTAAATTAGGAAGTTGATGATGGCAGTCCTTTAAAAGACAGAGGAAGGAAAATGCAGATTGGATTGTGGGGGTGTTATAGCAAAAACATTAGTTATTTCTCAGAAAGCTCCTTCTCCCTTTCGTGAGACCAACAGGATCATCTGCATACCATACTGCTACTTCTACCACATTGCAGAGAAAGGAACTTTAGGTTTTCAAAATAAGGTACTATGAGTGTCAGCTGGATAGGTCAGCCTAACACTCTAGCTCTGTTCAGTTCGTGAGACTGTACTTCTGTTGAGTGTACAGTAGTCTGTTAAACCCAGGAAATACCAATAAAAAAAGACTTTCATCTTACATACCATTAGTGCATCTTCCTGATTCCATATCAGAATCAGCCCTAATTTGGCATAAACCTTGGTGTAAATGTCATTGCTCTCAATGAGCACAGAAGAGCTGTAGTAAGGTGTCTTCACACTAGGAAGAAAATCAGAGACTTTGCATTACTATGGAAACATAAATGTCTCTAATAAACCAAATACTCTAATGAAACCAGTCTTTGTCTACCTGATCCTAGCTGCACAGGATGCCTTGTTTTAATGAGGCATAAAATTGTCTGACACTTGATGTGGTAACTCATTGTCTTTAAAAGGCAAATCAATTTCAGAGGCAAAGCCTCCCCAAGGGTATGGGTTCTTTAAGAAAAAAAGCCAAAATGTCAGATGTCTTCAACTTAAAGGAAAATCCATCATCATTGTGGTATTAACAGAGGATATTCAAACACTTGCTAATAATTTACTTCAATGAAAGAACAACATAAATCGAAGCTTTTCTTAACCAAAAGATATGACAACCATTTCAGAGAGAATGAATGTTCCTTTGAAAGGATCTTCCTCCTCAAGAGAGAGCTCAAAAAGCACAAGCAGATACAGGGACCAACAATAGAAGTTTGAAAAGAAAGGAACACATTAAGAGGAATTCAGTAGTTTGTTTCAGTAGTTAGCTCATTAGTTTTCAGTTGACAGGACTAAGCTTATTAATGGTGACAGCAAGGCATGCTAATATTTTGCACAACGCTGAGCATAGATGGTTTTGAGTAAAGAATCAGTTCACCGGACCTCTCTCCTGTTCTTGCACGTCTGACTTACAGTGCACTAGGTAACAAGACACAGTGCTGAATTTTATTCAGCAGTAAAGGGATTGTGGCAAGCAGCCTCATCCTATAAAATCTAAAGAACTAGAGTGTGTTCAAACAGAAGTAGTACAAACTGGAGTCCAGATGAAATAACCAGTTAACTTTCTACAGATTTGCCAATATAATTGTTACCTATCAGGATTCATGTATGTCTATGCACACCTCCTCTTAAATAGTCTTTTGACTGGGAGAATTTTATCTCCTAATTTCCTGCCACTGGGATTTTTCCAACTATTTACCTCAGGCATTTTTAACATGGCCAAATGACTTACACATCTAAATACTAGGTGGGAATTCAGGAACCATTATTTCTACTTTAGGCTGCATTGTTCATCCTCTGGACAATGGAGGCCTTATGAGAGCTTTCAGATATTCCCCCCATACCGAACACTAGACATTCAATAAATCAGTGGATCAGGTACCAAAAGGCAAATTCATACATATTTCTACTTTACAGTTTTCACTTCAGTAGTGTGAAATGTTATTTTACATGACAATGGATCATATGTCATTTAAAGAGCAATACGAGAAATTAAGTTATACAAAAAACGAAATCCCCCATGCAGCAAAAAACTGTTCAGAAGGGATCTATTGTTTTAGGAAAACTACCTAAGTCAAAAAGATGCTTGGTTTAAGAAAAAACAATGTTTAAAGGATTTCTAAACTTGTTTTTCATTGAGTTCTTTTAAAGACCTGAGTATACAATAAAGGGTGTTTCAACTGGGGGCAAGAATGCATTTTTTATAACTTCATGTTGTTATGCATTCTGGTATGATCCTTGGAAAACTGTATGTTATTTTCTATCTTCGAAGAGATTTTCATTGCAGTGGCTTCCAAACTTCAGAGCAAAAGCTGAGTTCTGAACAAAACCCAATCCTACAGTGACACTAGAAAGGATTTTGTTTAAATTATGCTAAGACATAGTAGCAGACAGTTTGTGTATATACATACGCAGAAAGGCTAGGCTAACAATCAGAAAGGCTAGGCTAAGACACTGCTTGGCACCAGTAATGGTGTCAGACTAGTTCCTTGTGTGACCACGTTAAAGGAGGAGAAAAATACTACAGCTCACTGAAAAAGTACATATTGCCACACACAAATTAATGTAAATTTTTACCTGCATTATAAATGTTATAATCCCTTGAGGAATGGCCATCGGACCTTAAAGAATTATGTATGAAGATCAGAAAAAAACACCCCTCTTCTGCCACAAGAAAAAAAGACCCTGGATAAATGCATCTTCATTTTTGAGGATTTGCTAGACCATCTGCTAAGGTAAACTCAAGGTGATGCCACAAAACAAATGAAGCTATGTCTTTTTATGCCAGTGAAAGATCTGGCTCATGAGCTGCATTGTTTCCTGCACAACCAGAAGAAGAACAATTCACTCAGACCTCTTCCTGACTTGCAATTAAATCATCCTTTAGGCCAGGGTAGAAATGATGATTCATGCTAAAGCCCCTCCTCAAAGCAATTTTTATGCTGGATTTCCAAGGGCTTTATTTTTGCTTGCAGAAATGCTTGCAGCAGTTACCTTAATAGTATACAGACAGCTGTGTAAAGAATTAATCCTGCTTTTATCTTCCCAGCACATTTCTCTGAAATACTATTATACTAAAGGAACTTACATCCGCCCATCCACCACAGCCAGTTTTGGTCTGAGGTACACCGTGAAGTCCTTGACTGTTATCAGAATATACTGGATCTCAGGGTGTTTATTGTCATTCAGAGCACGCTGAATGTGGACAGAGAACTCCTTGTAAGACTCTCGGCAGTCAGAAACAAAATTATACTCGCAAATGCCAGGGAATTGATAGATGTCTCCATCAAAAGTTTTGAAATGGTTGTTCCCCCAAGTGCTGCAGACATAGTGGCCATGGTTTCTTGTCCTTCCTGTTAAGTGGTGAAAAAGAAACGGGCATGAAAAAAGTTAAATGAACAAGCTAGCATCAAGAAAAGGTAAACGTTGCATTTTACAGTAGAAACCACTTGCATGTGCACAGTGATTCCACAAATCTCAAGCCTGATCAAGTGTCTGCCTGTTAGGCAGAAGAGGTGTGATTCTCTAACAGAAAATAAGACATTAACAAATACTGCTGAGATCTGGGTATATCTTATAATCCTCACTGAGGTAAAGGAACTTGTCTGTATGAGATGGGGAAACTTGACCACTAACAAGTTGGTGCACCAGTGCAATGGAATTGCTTTTCTAAACATATGAATTTATTCTGAATCACAGTATTACTTTTAGCAATATTAAGTATTTCTAAGAGCTATTTTCTTCCCTGATGCACCATGCACTAGAAACACACAGACTTAGGAAGCCAAGGAAGTACCACTCCTACTCTGGAAGGCAAATAGGTTGGATGTTATGAAAGGACTTGTGAGCAACAGAAGTTTTTTAAGAATTCCTTCTCTTCCTAACACAAGTGGTGATTTCTATTACTACAGAATATAAATTCTTCAGATCAGAAAATAACCATGGTAGGAGCAAAAAAAAAAAAAAATTTTTTTTTTCCAATAGCAAAAGATGAAGATGATGATATTAATTCTGTTCCCAGCCACCTATACCAAGAAATAATACAAATTAATAAAGTATCTGATTAATCTCAAGCTCACACTTGGGAAGCTTGCCAAGGTACCAAAAGCACACATGCCACTCATCTTCACGAGATTTTCTTTCACTGGCACAAACTACCAAGGGGACCTCTAAGTTATTGTACTTTGATGATATCAATCATACCAGATACATCCAGCCAGGCTGGTATGCTTGTCTCTCCACCAGGAAGTCTACACAGAGATTTTCCCAGAGCTCACAGTTGGGATACCAAATGCAAGATAACGCTTTCCTCCCATTGCTGAATTCAAGATGTGGCAGACCAAGAGCAATACCCCAAACCTGATCACTGCACAAAATTCATCACCTATTCCTCCAAAAACAGTTTTCAGTACAAGAGCTCAATTGCAACACTTTGAACTTGATAACAAATAGAGTAAATCAGAGCTTTAACAGATGGATTATTAATGTCCTGAATGACAGAATGACCTTTGTCTAATGTTACTACGTTCACTTTTGAAGAAAGTATTTATGTCATTCCAAAGTAATGCAAGGCAGTCATCCACGTTCTTCATTGCTGTAACAATAAAACTCCCAAACTCATATAGTTGCTTTCTGCCGCGTAGTTGCCATATCTAGGAAAGTCTCAACACATGGAAAGAAAAGTAACACTGACAATATTTTCCAAGCACATCCATCTAGATATTATTGCAGTAGATATAGGTATTAATGTCTCCAAAGATAGCAGTATCTACCTATGTTGGCTGAGCCATGCAGACTCAGTATTTGAAAGTTTAAGAAATTGAAGGCACCTTAAAACTCCAGTGCATTATTTAAATGCACTGCCTCCTTCTGCCTTTGCAGTGGTATTTTAATTCTCTCCCTCTTTTCCTATTTTCCAGGAGGCAATCTGCTACCATTTCATTTCTAGAGCTTACCTTTTCTTATTTCATTTGCATAGGAAAGAGCCAGCCAGAGGACAAAAAGGCTGGCAGCTCTTAGCCCCATGGTGGCTAAGGCGGGTGAACTGGGAACTCCACTGAAAACTTTTCTTTATATAATGTCCACTGATGCAATTGCTTCTATCACAGGGGAATAGATACAAAGGGAAGAGGGAAGAGGAGAGGTAAAAAAATAGGTGTGATATTTACAGAAGATAAGAAGTAAACAGACAGGTATTTTTCATCATAAATTAAGGAATTCAGTATACAGGAAATGGTATAATATTGATTCAGTAATCATGTAATTTTTTATTGCTCTATTTAATCTACAGGATGCTATGCTTTTAAATACTTCAAATGCTCATGCCAAGTTTAACCTTCAGTAACTCCTATAACAAATAGTGGATTTTGGAGTGGCTGAAAAAAGAAATCCCTTGAAGGAAGTTTAGGATGAGACACCCTCAAACAATGGCTTCAAGGCCAAAGGATTTTTTCATTTTTCACCATCACATAGAATGATTTCTGTAAAAATTAAGCAATGTTTGTGAAGCTCCTTGTAGACAACAGTAACCCTTACAAATAAAAATAATATAACATGCATTGTAAAACTATTTTGTAGGTAATTGTTGGATCTTAGAAAAGGTATAGCCCATACTGCATATTGTGCCCAAAACATAACTGAGATGGGATGACAAGGTAAGCTCAAGGAATTCACAGCATCGTCATGGTGCAACAGAAAGCCCATCAAAAAGGTTGTAGAGATTCTCACAACATATTAAGATTCAGGGGGAAAAAGAAAAAAGAGAAAAGGGGAAAACAGTACTGTACTGTCCAGACTGAATAACAACTGTCTTCAGACAGAACCTGCTGCTTTAGTCAACTAGAAAAACCCTTCCAACATAAAGACATCGTCTTTAGCTGTTGTTTTCTTTTATTTGCTATTTTTATCCCCAGTACAGCCTAGTCTCAACCCAAACATCTTCCCGTTTTCTTCAGTACATCTCAAAAGCTTTGATTTTCCGCTTTTCCTATTTGAGGATACAGATTTGCACTTCTCTCATCCTTACATAGGGATACAGAGTATCATTCACTCAACATTCATGACTGAAATTAAGTAGTTGCCCTTCTCACCTTTGGGAGTCGATCACTAGAAAAATGTAGAATTGATTTTCCGTCTTGGAAAATAGAAACAAAAACGGTAATAACCAGTTAGAACAAACCATTTAGAGGAAAAAAAAGGAGAAATACTGTCTACAGAGACCTTTCCCTGATGGTTACTTGAGCAGGTCTAACTTCTTATGACAACTCAGAGACATCTCCCATGCTGGAATTTTCTGTCAAATGCCACCAAAACTCTTAGTTCAGAAATGTTATTTAAAATACTTAAGAGATTCCCAAAAGACTTTATTTTTAACTTTTCTTTTCCACCCTTTGTTTTTCTAGATAGACTGTCTGGAACTACTATTGCTTCAGGAAAAAAGTGTCTCCATGATTTAATTCACATACAGTCTTTGCAAACTGTAACAGCAACTCTGTGTACACAGCAGACCTGACTCCTTTTTAAACTGAGAGATGTGTATGCTCACAGGTGTAAATTTTCCATTCCGGCTTCTTTGCCATGGAACTTCTAGATCTAGAACCAGCCTCATTTATTTGCTGGGACTGTGAAAGGTAATCACCATCCTTCACATAAAGATGCACCACCCTTCAGTTCAATATGCTGGTGTTTTTCTCCTATGCAGGTGTGAGACTCACCTCTTTTGGGGAGATATGGATAGGTCTAGCTCCTTGAAGAGCTACTCTTAGCCAAGCACCACTAAATTTTAGTGACTGATTTTCTCTGCTCCAGCTCTGGCCTGCCTGTACAGGGAGCATGATTCCTTCTTGGGCTATGAAGTTAAAACAGGACTATTTTCCTTCCTCAATCTTTTCAGAGTGACCAACAACTCATTGTCCCTTCTTCTAACATATAGGAAGCTGTGGCTCATTGTGACATCCCGAACTGGAGAATAAGGGAAAGCAACATGCCTTTGAGCATTGAGACCACTCTTACAGAATTTGCACTCAAGCTTACACACTTGTGCTGATCTGAGAAGTGAGTACAGATCCTTATCTTCACATTTCTTAAGTATCTGTATATTTGCTAGCATTAGAAAGTATTCTAACCTACACCATCTCTGTTTCCTTATTGCCAGAAGGGTAATGATCCTGTCTACCAGCTGCTTTATATGCCTTTCAGAAATAATCTTTGAGGTAGACATCATAGCCTGTTTTATTTCATGCTCAGCTACCTTATAGCTTATTGGATTACGCATTTTAACCCAGAAGAATCCTACTGTTAATGCACACATAACTTTGCATCCATATGTATGCATTAATTTATTTACTATAAATTGCTTGACAACGTGAAATAATCAATCCATTTGGGAACAAAAATAATTCTGCTTTAGCATTAGCATCTTTGGTTTAAGCTTACATCCATTCTCTACATCTGGTTGGCCTGTCTGTGGAACTTCATGCTATTCCTTGTTTCCGATCATCTTAATCAGAAGTCATCTTCCTCTTTCCAATATCAGGTACTGTTCTTATAATTCTGCATGCACTTCAATCCTCTCCCAGTAGGGACACTACAACTGAAAACATATGGAATACTAACTGGGTAAAAGCTGTCACTGTTCAAGTGGCATCACCAGAACAAGTGATGAGAAGGAGTGTTTCCATATTTAGGTCCCACTGCTGAGTCTTAACAGAGATTTTTTTTTTTTAAAGTTCCTGAAGTTCATGGGTAAAAATACAAGTTCCCATAATCTTCACTATATGCCTGACCTAGGATCCCCAACACCAGTGCTCCAACAGCCAATGCTGAAATTCAAAGTTTAAAAAAAAAAAGTTGATTGCATAGCAAGTGTGTTTGTTATAGCAGCAGATGCAGAAGGAGAGATAAAAATTATGTTTTGAGTCATAGCTCCGTCAATGCATTGTTTCCCTACCCTTAAACTTTTATGAGACTATTTCTAATCATTCCATCAGTATAGCTAACTTCTAATGTTCATATTAATTACAGTGTAAATTTATTCTGCAGTATACTTTCTGTTAAAAAGAAAACCTACACAGAAGATTATCTTTATTCTGACTCACACTGCAGAAGAAAACGGCCTATATGGAAAATTTATATTACTTTAAGATAAAATTAAGCAGAGGCCTGGCTAGGCTTATTGGTTTAGGATGAAGAAGTATTTTTTCAAGAATCTGGGGTCTGTTCCTATCTGTCAACACACCAACAGGAAATCTCATTGCAGTCTTGTCATAGCAAACCCAGGATGACCACTGTACAAATACCTCAGAAAGTACAGTTATACATGGTGACTGAATTTTTTTCCACATCTGCTTTTGTATTCCTGACTTGTTGCTGATCACAGGCTGACAAACCAAGAAGCAATGCTCTATCAGCGATGTTGCTCTGCAGAAGTAGCCATGGAATTTTGTTCTGCTACTCTTCCACCTGCCAGCATTTCACCAAAGCACACAAAGCCTTCCACACGACCATCCAACTGCACGATACACACAACACTTCCTTTATCCGAAGCACAGGGGTGGGTTGTCTGAAGTCCCTGGCAGTCATTCTAAAATAGCTCTGGCAAAATATAGGCATATTATAAATTAAGAGACATGTGACATGCAATCACGGTACTTCCTTGACTGAGACACCAGTAAGCACGCTATAGTATTCATTGACAAAAACTTAAGGAAGCACAGAGACAAGAAGCCAAAGGCTGAACAGTGCATGAAAGAGAGCATAAAGCAATGACATAGAAGCAATGGGGATGCATTTTTTGGTATGTATGCTGTTAACAGATTAACCCCAAATTATCAACACAAAAAGAGCCAGTATTAGAATTATTAATTTCAGTTTTTATGTTATTAAAGAATTATAAATAAGTGGCAAAACGCATAGCTATAACCAATTTATTCTCTCTCAGTCTTTCTAATGGGGAGTCACTAGTTACTATTTTTACAAAAATAAGTTTAATGCACTGGATGTCCATTTAAATGTATGCAACAGTCAAGCTCTTTTAAAGGAAATATTACAAAACCCCACATACTTTTGATTGATCCTAGGTCCCTTCTGGAAATAGGTTAACATAATTTAATTAATTATCTTGTCATTTTCCCCTAAGATTTCTGATTGGACTGATCTCAGCTCTACCACTAATTTCATCACTGTGACCTTGAGCAAGTCTTTGGGTTATTGCCATTCTTTTTTATCCAAACAAATATAATAGTGTAAGGTATCCACTAATGCTAGCTGAGCATAACATTCTCACACACCCTTTCTTAAATGGTTTGGCATAGAAATTTTAAGATTAGCATCCATTTTCCACTCATAATACTTCCTTCTTTTTGTCAGTAGCTCATGCTCTGAGACTAAGGGTGCAAAACATTTCTTTCTCTTCCAGTTAAGTACAAATGCGGATAAAGATGTGACACACAATTACTGAAGATTAGGAATGGATGTAGTAAGTAATAATTTCAACTAGTAAACTTTCCTACTAACACCTTCTAGAAAAGGCATATCTGCAAAAAGCCTTAGCATGACAGCTTCTCTATCAATACACATGGGAAAATATTTGATGCTTTTAAAAAGAGATTAAAGCAGTTCTCCTTTGCTCAAGCATCTATAGGATTTACTACAGAGAAATCAACAGAGCCAAGAAGAAATGACATGGAAAAGGCATCAAGGCAATTACACTCCACATTCCTTTCTGGCAATTTTACCGCAGTAGAGTGGATTTTCCAAATCTTTTATTTTCTCTTTATGAAACACTGGGAAGAAAAATACTAGCGAAATGGGCAATTTTTCCTCTGTCCTGTGAAGAAGGTTTTTCCCTGAAAATACAGATCACTAAGAAGCTGGGAAACATTTTAGGCAAAGCTTATGCATCTAAACCTGTGTTCTTTCAATGGAGTTCACATATCAAGGACATGTTAGAGAAAGTTTGAACAAGAAACAAAGTGAGCATGCTTGCTATCACTGCAATTTTCCTCTACTAATATTTTCTACCATCT